CTTTCGATCCATCAGGGGGTTCGCTCTGTTTTTGATGCATCACAACAACTCATCCCTCCTTTATGTTTCCTATCTTTGAAACTTCCGCCACCGCCTTGTGCGGTACTACTGGTATATACCCTTGTGTCTTGATCCATCGCAACATATCAAATGAAAGGAGATGAGATATGGAAATCCTCCCAAGAACGTGGTAAAGAACACAAGAACAGCCCCCACCTTTCGTTGCCATGGCGTGGAACCTGTCGCGGCATCGGTCGCCTCAGTGTGCCATCCTGTTTTGGAGGGTGCATCATTTTGATAGCTGGGAGAAGCTGAAGTTACAGCAATCCAACTTTAATCCAACCTGCAGCTGGTACCTGAAATCCCGTTTCATCTGCAAGAGCCAAACATTACATAATGCCCACATGTGAGGGAATCGATTAGCTGTGTTCACCCATGCCATCCCATATCGCCCCATGCCAGCTGAGTCTCTGACGGAAAGGATGCCAGTGGAAACACTGGAAAGTGCTGAGCCAAAGGCATTTTTTATGTATAGATGGCATAGATTGCTCACCAATGACCAAAGTGGACCCGAGAAGTCCAGGGGCGTCCCAGGTTTATCCTGATCTGTGATGGACAGCAGGAGTCACCAAAAAAATCAGAAAGCACTTAATATCTTAATGCAACAGCGGCAGCTGTATCGAACGTCCCGCTGGCTTCTGGGAACTCATGAATCCCATTAGAACTTTAGAGGATAGCGGCTGGGTCACACCGCAAGCAGCAAAAAATGTTGTGATGTCTGAAGTCCGAGTGACGTCTGAGTTCGGCCTATTTCCCCCATGGCAGAAGTGGTCCATCAACTTCCGCAACAAAACTCCATGAAGATATCTCAACCTTGGAGTCCAAGTTCATCTCCTGTGTTTTGCTTATTGCATCCAATCGAAACCATTTGGGTGTGTCTGAAAAGATGTACCCAAAAATCGATAGTTTATCATCACATGTCCCATTAAAATTGCCATGCTGGAGCAAACCGCATTTTCACGGCCAACCGCTAACCTTCTTGGGGATGCAGCTTAACCATGGTTATCAACCCCATAGGTTGAGATATAACCCTTATGGGCCTATAGGACCTATAGCTATAGTTGTAGATCCACTTATGACTGGAATTGCACTTCCAAGTTGTCTTCCAAGTTGTCTCCCAATGCAAGACACCGCCCCCCCCCTTTTATGGGCCTATGCCTGCGTTCTGGGTCAGAGTATCAGCAGCCCCAGCACTCAGAACACACCAATGGCTTCGTCTGAAAATGATGGGAAAACCCCATTCCATCTACTGGTAAAGAAAATATGTTTCCCATTGGTTCCCATTAAAGATTGCAATTCAAATGGTGCATCCCCCATTTTCAGACGCACAGAAATCTAAACTGCAATCTACAAACAATTCGAGCTAAACAGTAGAAAATAGAAAACCTTCTACCTGGAGGGTGCACTTTTTCCTTCACCCCAATTATTGGAAGTATTCAATCAAGTCCAGTCGAGATATGAGGAAAAAAGGGCACCTTCCATAGCCACTGCAATAGGAATCACCCGTTTCGTTGGGCCGAAGGTGCCAAGGGAATGTGGCCTGTTGCCATGCAGTTCTTCCCTTTTCACCTCCATTTTTCGTTCAAAATACAATCGATGGGCGCCAGAAAAACAGCAACCCGCTGTAATGACATGTCAAAAAATTAGATGCCATGGCTACGTCCAGTCTCAGTCACGTGTCACGTCCCGCAATGTTCAAGGTATTGCGTTCGCAGGACTCGCGGGACTCGCGGGACTCGCAGACTCACAGGACTCGCAGGGACTCTTGATCCAAACCATCGCAGCTTCGGAAAGTTGTAAATGTTCCAACAGTGGTCTATATTGAAAGGGGAAACTCACGGTTGCAAAATCACGTGTTGTCTTTTGTAGATAAATCTAGTTTGCCCTGACCTGCCGCAGATCCCAAGAAGTGTGAAACGTGATGCACCTGCCGGTGCTGACCGAGTAGCTGCCGAATCCAACAGCGAAACCACGTTTCGGAATGCGAGGACTCACCAACGAGATGAAAAGTCGCCAGTAGATTTGCGGAAGGCAAATTTATATGCATTCCGCGCTCAAAACTTGCATGCTGCAGGAAAATTTTGAAAACGTGCCTTCTTGTTTCAGGAAAAACTTATTATATGTGACTAGCCATGTTGATAAATTGTCATGAAGATACATAGTTTCCAGAGCAAAGTTCGGCTCAAGCCTTGCGCATCGCACCATCCATGTCTTTGGGAGTTTATTTTAAAAAAAACTGCCAGGTGAAATTCTCAGACTCTTCTGGATCGCCCTGCGGGGCAGTCAGGAATGTGTTTCTTGACCCAGCGCCAGGTCAGATTGATCCGCGGCTCCTGCGCAACGGCCAGAAATCTTTCGACAGAAGCAGATCTGAAGCTTCAATTAAAATCCTTAAACATGATTAAGCCATATCAACATCTTTAACCTCAGAAGATCGAGTCATTCTCAAAGATCTTGACATGGGGCGTCATCTTCTCCATTGCGCGCGCCTTAACGTCTTCACGAGGGACGCGATGTTGAAAGTGCTTCTGAAACATCCCCTGTGCCCAGTCATCTCAGCGAGGGGTTTTATAGCAACCGAGCTTTGCGACCCAACAGCAGGTTCCAGGGTTCCAGTCATGTGATGCACAAGTCTCAGGTAAAGATTAGATTGAAGCCATTGAAGCCCAACAAGCCCTCCCAGCAACAGCTCCAACCACTGCCTCCATAGTTAGAAGGTCTCCAGTGTTCAGAACCACTCGTTGCACGCGGTCCTCCCTGTCCTGGATACGAAAGATGGATCCAGTGACTTCCCCCCCAAACAGCTGTCAGGTCCCAGATCCTCGGGCCAATTCCGTCGCAATTCAAATTTTCGCGTGGCACCCAAGGAGAGGGAGATGATCCTGGGAGCGCTTGGGAGGTTCAATTGAGACTCATCCTGGGTTGATAGAGAACCATACCATCCAGGCTCCATGTTTCGAAACCATCCACTGTGGGCCAGCTGCCATCAAAAATAAAGTCTCGCTATCTTGCCTGTGGCTTTATGGATCATCTATGATCATCCTGAATCATCCTGTTCCTATGCCAACTTCTATCAACCGCATACCTCGGAGTTCAGGCCTGCAATCTCTGAACTTGCCTTGGAATAAGCATTCGTCATCGGAGTGCCAACCTTAGCTATTGGATGCTATTGGTGCACTATGAACATCCCACAAAATGGAGAGAGAAGATCATGACCGCAACACCAGTTTGTCTTCGTTCCCAAAGTTTCGAGCACTTTGACATGGGGGACAGTTTCTTCCAGCAAGTCAACAGCAGTGGTGACAGTTTCTCAGTGCTTGGCCAACTGTCATGCCACCATCCTGACAGGTGAAGGCGAACATTTGGCTTGCAGCCCAACTGGATCCTGGCGTTGCGTCCCTAGCCTCGTAGAGGTTCAAATTGCAGGAGTTTGGCCTCGCATGACAGAGTGTCAACAGAGTCCCAGCTGCAACGTGTTTCAACATGTTGGTGGCCATAACAATCACGTCCACACACTTCCACCCAAAAATAATGTGGTCAGCACACCAACCAGCCATCGTTCAACGGTCCAGTCAGCTTTGGGCCGTAGTGAGGCTCGAACCAGTCGTTCTGCGCAATTCCGCAAGGTCTCAATACAACCTCCATCAACTCAATCCTAAGCCCAGTGAGTTGGACCACAGGTTGCTTTCAGCCCCCACTGTTCAAAGGCACGCTGATGCAGGCAAATGTCATAGGGGTGCCGCATTGCGATTCCATCCGATTCTGAGACCCAATCAATGAAGTTAGATAAGTAACAAAGCATGAATTAGCCAACACATGTCCTAGGGCAAATACCATCAAAGTTTTGGTTGGACTCTACCCACCTTGTCACAAACCATGACACCTCACACCTCAAGGACTAAGGGAATGAAGTGCAAGCCGCGTAAGTTCCCTGCATCCACTTTGGGAATTCTTCGGGTTGCACTTCCAGGCCGCCATACCGATACCTCTTCACTGTGACAGAGGAATTTCCAGAACCCTGCGCCATGTGGGAAAAAATAGACCTTCCCTCGCTAGTTGACAGTTGAAGAAGGGCACTTGCACTTGCAATTTCCCTTCACCATCCAGCACGTCTTTCGTGGAATCTGGCCTTGTCTCACTCCCCAATGACACCTGTGTGGTATGATGTTTTTTCAAGGATATTTTTAAGCAGAATAGAGGGACCATATTTGACACACCCTTTATGATCACCTACATCTTTAGAACCTGGCGGGCAAATGTTTAATATTTTATTTTTTGGACAGTTAGGCTTTGAACCAGTAGCACTTTCAATTTATCATGGAACAGCTACATATATATATATATATACACAGTATGTATACATGTATATATATAATATAACAGGTTTACCAGCAATACCGCACAAGGCGGTGGCGGAAGTTTCAAAAATAGGAAACTATAGGAGAGGTAAGTTGTCGTGATGCATGGATGGCAGAGCCGATCCACTGATGGACGAAAGGTGGTTGGAGCTGTGTTTTTTGGAGTGGTTGCAGTGGTCACCTCAACCACAACTGCTGGATGTAGCGTGGTGTAGTGTATGTAATGTAGTTGTAGTTCAAGTTCTGGTTTCAGTGTAGTTATATTGTAGTTGTAATGTTGTAATGTTGTAATGTCGTAGTGTCGTAATGTTGTAATGTTGTAATGTTGTAGGTATGGTTGTTGTTGTAACTCTAGCTGTAGCAGTAGTTGCAGCTATACCTGTAGCGGTAGTTGTAGTTGTAGGTGTGCGTGTAGTTGTAGTGTAGTGTAGTGTAGTGTGTAGTGTAGTGGTAGTGGAAGTGGAAGTGTAGTGTGGTGCAGTCGAGTGTAGTGTAGTGTAGTAGGGTTGGACTTGTAGTTGTAGCTGTAGCTGCAGCTGTGGTTGTAGTGTGGTGCAGTGTAGTGGTAGTGTAGTGTAGTGTAGGGTAGTGTGGTGAAGTGCAGCGCAGTGCAGTGCAGTACGGTGCAGTGCAGTGCAGCGCAGTGGAGTGGAGTGGAGTGTAGCGTAGTGGAGTTGCAGTTGCAGTTGCAGCTGTAGTTCTAGTTGTAGTTGTAGTTGTAGTTGTAGTTGTATTTGTGGCCGTAGTTGTAGTTGGAGTTAGAGTTGGAGTTGTAGTGTAGTGTGTAATGGTTGGTAGCTGTGGTTGTTGTTATTACTGTTGTAGTTGTGGTTGTAGTTGTAGCTGTTGTAGTTGCTGTTGTTGTTCTTGTGGTTGTGGTTGTGTAGCGTGGTCCGGTTGAACGTCCAAAAGAGGTCCACATGTTGACTTCGAAATCTGCTTCGCGTCACAACGGCGTGCACCTTTTCGACATCTTAACCTCAAAAAGCGCTCCGAGACCGCCTGTTTTTTTAAACAGTTTTGACTTGGAAATATGTGCCACGCTACAACGGCATGTACTTTTTGCATATCTCAACTTCCAAAAGAGCTCCGAAGCTGAAGCATTATTTTGTACATTTGACATCGAAATGTGCTTCGCGCCACAACAGCGTGCGCTTTTTCAACATCTCAACTTTCAAAAGTGCTCCGACGTTGAGGTGTTTTGTACATTTTGACTTGGGCATGTGATTCGCGCCATGCCACACAGGCGTGCACTTTCTGCACATCTCAACTTCCAAGTGCTCCGAACCCGCTGTGCATTTCAAATTTTGACTTCCAAATGTGCTTCGAGCAACAGCGCTGTGCACCTTTTGAACATCTCAACTTCCAAACATGCTCCGAGCATGAAATGTTTTTAGCATTTTGACTTCGAAATCTGCTTCGCGCCACAACGGGGTGCAATTTTTCATCTCTCGTCTCTCCAGATGGCTCCGCACCCGCCGCTTTAGCGAGCTTACTTTTCGATCCTCCCGAGCCACAAAACATCGGAAAAACACAGTGCTTCGCGACTTTTCTACCTATACGCGCACCTGCATCTGCCTTCTTCTGACTTCTTCCTTCTTCTGACGTTTCTCTTCTCTGATCTTCTTTCTTCTTCCTTTCTCTTCTCGGACTCTTCGCACCTCTGCTTTTCCATCTGTCCATAGTGTCGAAAGTTTGACTTCTAAGCTTCCTTCGACAACAGGTACATAAACTATTTCAATATCTAAATCTCCATCCAACAGCAGCCTTTTGGCGACCTCCAAGTCAGACTCTCGTCTTTCCCTCCATTTCCAAGGAGCCGAAGGCTCCTTCAGGCTGTTTCCACTCGCAGGAATCCTGTTCCAGTTGTCGCGGGAACTCCCTTGCCCCGCGATTGGTGACTAATGTGGGGTTCACCCAATGCTATGTTTACCCAAGTCATCACCAACTGTTTATGGCTGGGATTGAAACCATTCCCGAATGGGAGGCTTATGGCATTGGGTTGCCCGCATTGATCCCCTCCCGCTATTACTAAACCTCCCCGTGTGTCTATTATTTCGGTGGGGGCGTAGTATATTGGGAAAAAGGATAGACAAGGTGGAATGCCCTTTCCGAATCTTCCAACTTTTTGGGTGGGCAGGTGCCCGCGATTGAATCTTCCCTCAGGCTAAAACCAAACGTAAAAAAATTGGCTGGGCAAAGGTCCAAAGATAAAGCCCTATTCCGCCTATTCACTTGATTTTCAGGATCCTCCTCAGAATAGCAGGGTGCAACGCCCCAGACCCATTATCAAAATCTACCTCTGTGACGCTGCTGATCTTCTGTCTTCACAAATAAAGAAGTTGCGTCCTTGATCTTCGTGAAGAAGCTGCGACAGAGTTCTTCATTGAGAACTTTGGGAATGTACCTGCTGCACAAATCAATCACCAGCTCGGATACCTATCCTGGATACATCGGGACGCCTCAATTTGGACTTGGTAGTCGGCCTAAGGTCTGACCGGGGCTGACCAGGCTAACTACCTTCAATATCTTCAACCCTTGAATGGACACATCCGGCAAAGGTCCCTCCATCCCATGCACACCCAGCAAAGCTTCGCCGGCTTTCATCAGACAAGGGATATTTCCACATCTGTCGACTCGGCGGTGCAGCTCAGTTCAACTGTGGCTCAGATAACAAATTTATCCGATGAAATGACCGTGGCGCTGCAAAAAACAATGCTATGGGCCACTCTACCGGGCCACCCTATGGGCTGTCTGGTCAGTTTGTGCATTCCACCATCCAATGTTGCTAAAGCGTTTGTTTTTCTTTTCCTTTGGCAAAGCCTGTGGAGCGCAGAGTACCAACTAACTGAAGAGGACTCGATTGTGACATCCTGTGACCCACAGCTGCCCAGCCAATCCGTTTGGGAAGGCTGAACATATATACATATATACATATATACATATATACATATATACATATATACATATATACATACATAAATATATCCATATATACATATATACATATTTACATATATACATATATACATATATATACATATATATACATATATATACATATATATACATATATATATATACATATATACATATATACATATATACATATATACATATATACATATATACATATACATATATTCATATACATATATACATGCACATTTATATATATATATACATATGTATATACATATATTTATATATATATATATGCATGTATATATACAAGGTATTATGTTATATCATATTATGGTATATTATATTGGTTTATAATATGTTATATTATGTTATGTTAAATTATATTATGTTATACATACAGATGTTCACATTCAGTGCACATAATATTCCAAGGACAAGGGACAAAATACTAGCTTCTTGTAGATGAAGATTGAGAAATCAATAGGTGTCTGATTTGTGATTGTCTGCTAGGGGCTTTGCCAATCTTACATGAACTCTCATGCAAATCCTCCTGCACCGAAGGCGCCGAGGCGTGAGAGTTCAGGAGCGGAGCTGATCGATTCGAACAATCCTCTGTTCACTGGTACAGCAATCTGCACATTTTGCAGATCGTCCCAACATCGTCCAAATGCACCGTTTCGATCCTTCATGGCCGCAACATGGGCTCCACTTGGGGTCAACTTCGGCCAACAAGGCCCCAACTTCGGGCCCAAGTTCGGGCCCAACTTCTCGACCCACTTGGCTCCAACTTCGGCCCAATTTAGGCTCCTCTCTGGGTGCGGGCGGTACTCATCGCGAAGCGATTCGAATACAAATGCAGGGCACGACAAACGCACGTAAGCCAACCAGAATCCCGGCAAAATCTCTGTACAAAGAATCTGTAGTTCCAATTTAAATCCAGCTGCAAGACATTTATCTTGACATCTGTGAGTTATGGGTCCAGTTTACAATTTATCGCCGCATGGTGGGATTCTCACCAAAGTCTTTACTTTCAAAGTTGCCAGGTATGAGGTCTTTGAGGTCATGATCTAAGGACCCAACAACTCATCACTGCATTCTTCTCCAAAGAGCTTCAGCTTTGTTCGGGACCGTGGCTCCTCCAAAAGTGCAGATCTGCCGCCGGATGCTGACATTTTCTGAAACCGGGGGTTTGGCACCCATGAATTGGATTAGACTGACAATAAGTAGCCCACCAGCACGAAATTGGACTTTAACCAGCAAAATTGTTTAACCAGCAAAAAAAATTGGAGAGCACTTTGAATATCTCGCCAAATGGACACCAAGACCAAGATGACCAAATCAAAGAAGCAACTGCAGATGTTCTCTTACCAGCAGCAGGAGTCTCCTCCCAATGGTCGTCATCGAACTTGGCCGGAGGAGGAGGCTCCTGCTCGGCCATGGCACTTCTACAGATGGGATTGTCTGAGAAAAACAGAGATTATTATAGAACCAAGGTTGACCAACCATAATGTCCTAAGGATATAGTGGGAAATATAAAGCCAATATTATATATGGTTTTGTCTGAAAATGTGGTACAGTATGTAACCCCGTAAAATATGGCAAGTTTCATGGGGAAAATGATGATTTACGACTGGATCTGAGGGTAGCCCAGGCAGAGCTCCTGCTTCTCCCTCTTACGGTCCTTCAAGGGGGCCGCAGCAAAGATGGCAAGGAATAACATGAAAATATGTTGATATGATTTGATATGTATATGCAATGCCATAGAAAATCATGTATGTAATGTCAATGTCATGTGCCTGGTATAATGTAGTGTTATGTGGTGCAATTTACTGTAAGGATCTGTAAGGTACGTATGTCAATGTATGTCCTGTATCTATAACTCTGGTCTTCATGCGAATCCATTGCCAACTGTCGGCAACTGTCCCTTACAGGGCTTCCTGAAGTGGGAATGCAGTGCCAAGATTCCAACCATTTTGGTGTAGAGAATTCGCAGGCTCTTCCCTCAACAAAATTCCAACAGGAGTCAAAAAAAACTGACCCAAATGTCCTGTAGCATCTGAAAACGTCCAAGTGATGGAACCTATCCTGCATTCCTGTGAGGTGTTGGCAAAGTCTTTTTCATCGTAAGAAGGATGGGAGACTTCTTCCAGTCACCAGTCCTCATCACTGCTTGGCTCCCTCGCCTGTCTTGTGACGCGATTACAATTGGATATACTTGGCGAGTCATTGGCCGCACAGCTTGATATCCCAGAATTGCAGGGATTTGTTGCAGGATTTCCCGATATTTGATGCTAAAAACCACACAAACACCGTGGTTTCTTGCAGGTTTCCCTTAAACCATCCCACAAAAAAAAGCGTGCCAGTCGAGTGACCCGCGCAGGCCTCGATCGCTTGCAGCACGCGCTTGGCCAAGTTAGTTGGATTACCCATGAAACATAGGGATTTATATTAGAGGATATGTATATACACTGAATCGGGAGAACGTGTTTGGTCGCCACAATGCTTTTGCTGATCAGAATGCGCTCAGGGTGTATGCAGTTGAACACGAACGTTATTAGGGACTGGTGAAACGTGCACAACTTCTGTCACGCACGTGCACAACTTCTGTGAAACGTGCACAACTGCTGGGAAACGTGCACAACATTTCTGACACGTGCACAACATCTCTGAAACGTGCGCAACATTTCTGAAATGTGCACATATATAATACTTGAAAACACTGGGTGGGGGCGGTGAAACACGTTATATCCATATAATATATATATATATATATAATATATATATATATAGAGATATATATAGTAAGTGTATATGTATAATCGACTAAAAGACTGTGTGCAACATGTTTCTGTTTCTGTCATTGAGGCTTTGGCATAGCAGGAACAGGCCTCATTGAGCGGCCGCAAAGAAAACCCACTATGACTGTAGTGATGGTGCGAAAATTTCCCAACAAAACCCTCCCAAAACCAGATTTGGATGCTGACATGTAGTAGCCAGGATAGTGTGGATGAGGTGCGTAGGTGTAGTGCACATTTGGCCTCGGCGAAACTGCCACAGACGGAATCAATGCTGGAAGCCCAAAGGCTCAAGACTGGGGTACCAAAAAAACAAAGCTTCGCTGTTTTGGACCATGCATTTTCCAGTCAAACCCTTCTTGGAGGCAAATGATTTTTGAATAATAAGGATCATGCACAGCGCATGGCTTCGCAACCTTCTCAAGCATAACACCAACTGAGCCTCCACACACATGCCCGTGGGAGGGATAGTAGTGAGGCATGGGCGGGTACCTGCCGAACGCTGTCAGCCATGGTCAACTATCCATCAACTGCTTCCAAAATCCTCAGTGCTCACTGGACTCCCGGTCCTGGAACTTTGAATGAGATATACCCCACAGCCCACAGCCCATAGAAAACGGTCAAGCTATTAATCGGAAACTAAAACCTGTTAATCAGAAACCAATAGAATCGGAAACTAAAACCCGTGAATCGAAAACTAAGAACCTTGAATCGTAAACCAAAACCCCGGAACTGGCAACCACAGCTGAATCGTAAACTAAAGCAGGTGAATCGGAAACTAAAGCAGGTGAATCGGAAACTAAAACCGGAGAATCGGAAACTAAACCAGCCGAATCAATCAGAATGGGCAACTTGTCTCCTTCAATCGGAAAGAGAAGTTGGAGGTAATATCCTGTTCAAAATAATGGCCAGAGGGGGTGGAGGAATTGATTTCTTATAAAGATAAGTTGAAGGTAATAACTCAGTCAACATAATGGCCAGAAGGGGTGCCGGATTTGATTCTTATGAAGATAAGTTGAAGGTAGTATCTCATTCAACATAATGGCCAGAGGGGGTGGCGGATTTGATTTCTTATGAAGACAAGTTGATGGTAATATCGTATTCAACAAAGTGGCCAGAGGGGGTGGCGGATTTGTTTTTTTATGAAGATAAGTTGAAGGCAATATCTCATTCAACAAAGTGTTCAGAGGGGGTGGGGGGCTTTGATACCTTACAAAAAGAAGTTGAAGGTAATATCTCATTAAACATAATGGCCAGAGGGGGTGGCGGATTTGATCGCTTATTTGTCACCTATGAGGATAGATTGTCGGTAATATCAATATCATTCAACATAATGGCCAGAGGGGGTGGCGGATTTTATCCCTCACGAGGAAAAAATATATAAATAAATGCAATATCCTTTTCAACATTGTGTTCAGAGGGGGTGGCGGGTTTGATCCCTTATGTGGATAAGTTGGCGGTAATATCTCATTCAAGAAAATGTTCAGAGGGGGTGGCAGATTTGGTTTCTGATTCGTTTTTTTGGGTTTCTGATTCGTGGGCTTGTTTGGTTTCTGATTCGCGGATCTTGGTGTCTGATTCGCGATTTTTAGTTTCTGATTCTCAGTTTCTGATTCGTGGGGTTTTGTATCTGATTCCTGTATTTTAGTTTCTGATTCGCGCGGTTTTTGGTTTCTGATTCGCAGATTTTGGTTTCTGATTCGCAGATTTTAGTTTCTGGTTCGCGGGTTTTAGTTTCTGATTCTTTGTTTCTCATTCGCGGGAAGTTTCTGATTCGAGGTTTGTTCATAGAAAAAACTCATCAAACTCAAATCCTGCTGAAATTCACCGTGACCATTGCATCATCGGATTGGACCCAGCCGACATGACCCTTGCAGCACCCAGGTAGTGGCGCAAAAGGTCGAGGAGCCGCCTTGGGGCCATTGGTCGATTGTTTTTTGGTGTCACCATTTTGATCCGACCTTAAAATTTAAAAGGAATGGCCGAAATTGGGGGGTTGTCTGAGAATACACCCAATATCATCTAATACCCTTTGGTTTAGCATCATTTTCCGTGTGAAAATGGCAATTTTGGGGCCCTTTTAGGTATGGACTCAGTCGCGGACCGGATGGCCATGGCATGGTGGATGCGGGTGCTGCGGATGGCCGTAAGGCCAGGGCATCGGCTGGACGTACTGCGTTCCATGGCACCCGTGGTGGCCACCAGGGCATGGTGAATATCCTGGAGGTCCATAAGCTCCATGGGACCTGGGAGTCGTTTCAGGGCGGAAGTTGCCAAAAGTCCTTAAATCCACTGTGAATGGAATGGATTGGATCCTTCAGTTGCAAATGAAAACCTCAAAATGTGACTGGAGACTTTCGCTGTTGGGTTCCTGGTTGTTTGTGCTTGAGGCGTTTTCTTTCAGTTGGACACTGAGGCTTGAGCGGGGACGCCTCAGCTGGCGTCACACGGGTCTGGGTCACCAGAATCGTCCGTCTCAAATAATGATGTATGTTCAAGGGAAAGAAAGAAAGTTGGATTGACAAAATGTTAACCGGCACAGTTATGAAAAATGGAGGTTACCCTATTTGTATCTATGTGTTCTCCTTTATTCATCCACCAACCAATCCGAAAAATACGTCGAAATACATCGAATTTAAAAAAAAATGATTTGGAAAAAAACAGAACATGCGCCTCTCACACATTGGTTTGTCTGAAACTAGGGTATCCCAAACGCATCATCATTTTTGCCCTATTTGGATACCCATAGATAATTTGACCAAATGAATGGTTTGTCCAAAAATTACTGCATGGGAAAACCCTTAGGAATCCATTGGTTTATCGTGATACATGCCTCACTAAGACTACTATTTAGCATCATTCTCCCTATCAAAAGGGCCATAGATTGCTGGTAAATGCCCTATTTTCAGGCCCTATGAGACAGCACAGCGGACGCCTGATATGATGGCGGCGCAGCAGGCACAGTGCCTGAGGGAGGAGATACACCGACCTCAGTGATGCCATTGATAGAAGACTTGAATTATAAAGGTGAAGTAATTGGATTTTAGGAAACTTATTAGCCATAGGGTCACTACCCAGCTACCAAGTGAGACTGTCGTCCATGAAGGCCTTCGATCCATGAGTTTGCATTGTTGTGCCACACTGCAGGAGGTTCGGGTAAAGTTACATCCCTTTATGAGATATAAGTTAGTTTCAACCCCATGTATGGAATGATAACATCACCTATAATCATTTACGACCATTTACAGCCATCGAAAACTGGTAAAGGGCTTTAACTGTCGGAATGAGGTGGTAAACGGTGTCCTTAGGGCCATAGTAAACGTTTTCAACTTGCAAGGAGTGTGTTTTGCGAAACCGAAGATACAAACATATTGAAGTTTCCTACAATGGAAGGACTCCCAAACCATCCAAGTTGGACCATGTTAGTATTGAAACACATGCTTGTTAGGATCGCCTGTAAAAGAACCCCCCATAAGTTGATGAATCAAAAATCACCTTTGAATGAAGGCTTATTGAATGGACAATCTTGGACACCTTCCAAAATAGATAGACCATGCCCTCTCCATAAAAGGATTAGTTTGGGATAAAAGGATTAGTTTGGGATACTAAGGAAGATTGAAGATACCCCTAAATCAGGGTGAAGGGCTGTTATTTCCAACTTAGTAGTAGTAGTAGTAGTAGTAGTCGTAGTCGTAGTCGTAGTGGTAGTGGTAGTGGTAGTGGTATTTGTAGTGGTAGTGGTAGTGGTAGTGGTAGTGGTGGTGGTAGTGGTGGTAGTGGTGGTAGTGGTGGTAGTGGTGGTAGTGGTGGTAGTGGTGGTAGTGGTGGTAGTGGTGGTAGTAGTGGTAGTAGTGGTAGTAGTGGTAGTAGTGGTAGTAGTGGTAGTAGTGGTAGTAGTGGTAGTAGTGGTAGTAGTGGTAGTAGTGGTAGTAGTAGTAGTAGTAGTAGTGGTAGTGGTATTTGTAGTGGTAGTGGTATTGGTAGTGGTAGTGGTAGTAGTAGTAGTAGTAGTGGTAGTGGTAGTAGTGGTAGTAGTGGTAGTAGTGGTAGTAGTGGTAGTAGTGGTAGTAGTGGTAGTAGTGGTAGTAGTGGTAGTAGTGGTAGTAGTGGTAGGCAGGCGGTTGATACGGCGCCCTGTGAGGGTGTGTTGAATTTTGATATCCCCATATTTTTCGTATGTGCAATGTTTTAGGCGTCGTATCAACCGGCTGCACGGGGGTGGGGTGGGGTGGGGCATGCTAACGTCATGAACGCTTGCGTAACATGTAACACGCCACGCTACGCTACGTCCATGTGCACTTGCGTTGCACATGTACTGCTACGCCGACCACGTTGCTAACACGTCTGCACGTTGCACGGGGGTGGGGTGGGGTGGGGCATGCTAACGTCATGTACGCTTGCGTAACATGTAACACGCCACGCTACGCTACGTCCATGTGCACTTGCGTTGCACATGTACTGCTACGCTGACCACGTTGCTAACACGTCTGCACGTTGCACGGGGGTGGGGTGGGGTGGGGCATGCTAACGTCATGTACGGTTGCGTAACATGTAACACGCCACGCTACGCTGAAAAAGTGGCGACCTCAGAGCCTTCAACAGAAATTGCAGTCAGGAGTGAATCCAATGAGGTTCAAATGGGCGTACTCCTATATGTGGAGACACAACGCCAAGTGTGAAAACATGCTGAATTTAAAGACTTTGAGCGACACCTTGTGGCGTTGAGTGAAAAAGATGCTGTCCGCAAGTTGTTCACATTATACAGGCTCCAAAAAAAAACGGATTTTTTTCCATTTTTTTTGGGACATCCGGATGTCAAAAATGAGCGTTTCGTTGAGGCGAAACGCACATTTTCAAATCACACCAAATGAAAACCTCAAAAATCAAATGTTTTTTTTCTCGCCCCTGATGACTAAAATTAGTATTTCGTTGAGGCGAAACACCAATTTCCACTTTGGAGTCATGCGCCTGCCATCGAAAAATGATCATGACTTTGAAATGTCCTTTTACAAAGTCCCACAAATACCACGTTTCCAGCTTTTGACGTGAAAATCTTAAAATTAAAATCGGCAACCCCTCACAGGGCGCCGTATCAACCGCCTACCTAGTGGTAGTAGTGGTAGGTAGTGGTAGGTAGTGGTAGGTAGTGGTAGGTAGTGGTAGGTAGTGGTAGGTAGTGGTAGGTAGTGGTAGGTAGTGGTAGGTAGTGGTAGGTAGTGGTAGGTAGTGGTAGGTAGTGGTAGGTAGTGGTAGGTGGTAGTGGTAGGTGGTAGTGGTAGGTGGTAGTGGTAGGTGGTAGTGGTAGGTGGTAGTGGTAGGTAGTAGTGGTAGGTAGTAGTGGTAGGTAGTAGTGGTAGGTAGTAGTGGTAGGTAGTAGTGGTAGGTAGTAGTGGTAGGTAGTAGTGGTAGGTAGTAGTGGTAGGTAGTAGTGGTAGGTAGTAGTGGTAGGTAGTAGTGGTAGGTAGTAGTCGTAGTAGTCGTAGTAGTCGTAGTAGTCGTAGTAGTAGTAGTCGTAGTCGTAGGTAGTAGTAGTAGGTAGTAGGTAGTAGGTAGTAGGTAGTAGGTAGTAGTCGTCTAGGTAGTAGGTAGTCGGTAGTAGGTAGTAGGTAGTAGGTAGTAGGGTAGTAGTAGTAGGTCTCGGTCCTCGTCGTAGGTAGGTAGTAGGTAGTAGGTAGTAGGGTAAGGTCGTCGGTAGTAGGTCAGTAGTAGGTAGTAGGGAGTAGGTCGTAGGTAGGAGGTAGTAGGTCTTTAGGTAGTAGGTAGTAGGTAGTAGGTAGTAGGAAGGTAGTAGGTAGTAGGTAGTAGGTAGTAGGTAGTAAGGTAGTAGGGTAGTAGGTAGTAGGTAGTAGGTAGTGGTAGTGGTAGTAGTCGTAGTCGTAGTCGTAGTGGTAGTGGTAGTGGTAGTGGTAGTGGTAGTGGTAGTGGCAGTAGTAGTGGTAGTGGTAGTGGTAGTCGTAGTGGTAGTCGTAGTAGTAGTAGTCGTAGTCGTAGTCGTAGTCGTAGTCGTGGTAGTGGTAGTGGTCGTGGTCGTGGTGGTGGTGGTGGTGGTGGTGGTGGTGGTAGTGGTAGTGGTAGTGGTAGTGGTAGTGGTAGTAGTAGTAGTAGTTCTAGGCCAACGAACGAAATAGACCCCAAAGGTCCCTGCCACATATATATATATATATATATCTGTGTGTGTGTGTATGTGTAATATATCGTATACATACATAGTAAGTATAGTTTTTACGTACATATTCCGATGGCTTTGTCTGAAAATGGGAAAGCCCCAAGCCATCGTCCGAAAGGCGAAGCGGTCTCAGGAGCCGACTGCTCTGGAGACGGCTTGGGTCAACACACCTTGTGAAACATGGGGATAGATATTGGGGGAAATATGGTGAAATATGGGGAGAATATGGGAAGAATATGGTGAAATATGGGAAAAAATATAGTGAAATTATTGTGAAATTATATATGGATGGTGAAAATGAAGGGAAAATACCGTGAAATATGGGCATAAGCCAAGCATTTTCTGGTGATGTCATGAAATATGTTTTGGAAATATCATCAGGGGGATGTACTGGGAATAATCCCATCACCCTAGTATTAAATCCCCCCCATCCTATAGTCCCAAATAGGTGAGTTCATCCCCTACTAATCCATTGTTTCTGGATTACACTGGGGGATGCTTCATATCTGAGGATGGGATTGTCCACTCATATGTACCATGCGAGAAAGATGATTGATAGCAGAATATGGCAATTTCTGGCAGAAAAAATGCATGGCAACTTGCTATATAAACGAAGGTTTACCAGGAAATTGTGGGATGGACCCAAACTTTAATCCAGGACCCAGTGGTACTTTTTGCTTTTAAGGTTGCGACCCAACCACGCATCTCGCTCGCTGTGCCTAGTTCAGATTTACGCTCAGCACAGTCGATGTAGAAAACGCACACGAGCGTGCAGAAATCGTTGTCTCCATTTGTCTCCATCCACAGCAACGCACGCTGTTCACCAATTCGGAATATCTGGGCGTGCCACGTTGAAGCTGCCTGTCAGTGCCGGGAGAAGGAAAACGTCAAGTTGCCCTGTCCACGTTGGACAAGGTCTCACACTTTGACATGCAGACCCCAAAAAAACTTCTCCAAGTCATCAAATTTGTCCTGAACTTGTGGACAAGGTTTCCCACATTTTCCAATATTTGGTTGGAACAAAAGAAAGTCTTACACTCGACACAGGCCTGCGGCACTCCTGGCGGCAGCTTGGGTGACCTTGCTGCGCTGTCTAGATCTGCATTGTATGTCTACAATCATATGCATGCATATGTACATATATATATATGTATATATATATATATATGCACATTCAGTTATATACATATGCATACATGACACATATGCAGTACATGTAATGTTACCGGGGTAACATGTATGTAGTGTGGGTCATATCTGATACATACTTCGGATTCTGTACCATTCAGAAGGATCAAATGATCCAGCAGTGTCTGATCCATCCTGACGAAACCTGTCTTCCCAGTGGGGATGTGAAGTCATAGGGTTTCTGTTTGCACTGCAGAAGGCTATCCAATATCATTCTGAGACATAGCAAGACACTGGTGTCCTTAATCTTCACTCTGGTCATGGTCTTGACTTAGCTCGGGAACAGATCTGGAGATGCTCTCACCGCTTCTGCAGTCTCTCTCCTAGGGAAGAGCTGTGAGACTGGACTGCCACAATGCTGGCAACAAATAAGTTACAGTAAGATACCCAGAGATATTGGAGAGAAAACAAACAAGAGAATTCCAGCAGCATCTGGACAGTCACATTTGTTCGGACTGATTCATTCCACCTTTTTCATGCATTCATGCTGTGTCTTCGTCTCAAATTCAGCACCACACCGGGATCGTCGTTCCCTTGACCGGGAATGTTTTTCTCTGGACCGGGAACGTCTTTCCCTTGACCGGGAACGTCTTTCCCGGGACCGGGATTTTCTCGACCAAGAGCGTCGTTCCCGTGACCGACGTAACTGGGAACGTCGCTCGCCTGTCCAGGGGTCAGTCTTGGGATTACCCTCTGCCATCCAAGCCTCACAACTGGAAATCACCATGTTCAATAAATCGTCATCAAAAATCATCAATATATAAGTGGAGATCAGGGGATCATTTGCAGTAATCTTGTACAATCTTGATGGGGCCCTTCATCTCAGTCGATCTCATCACTAGACTTATTTTGCAGGCAAAAGCTCAAACCATCCAACTCTATCGAAAAAAACATCCACTGAATCCCTTCCCCCCTTTACAGAAAACACCCCCTGTGGTTGGTTCCAAATGTTTTTCAGCATCCCCCCTACTAAAGCAGGGAACTGAGCCTTCACGGCGCCTGCGGCGGTGTCCTGCATGGTTTTTATTGTTGCTGGGAGAGGAAAGAACTGGTCCCAAATTTGGGGCAGCAATCTAAAAAAAAACTACATAGTCTGGTGCATGCATACAAACAAACATTACATTACCCTACATTACATTACCCTACATTACATTGCATTGCATTACCTTGCATTGCATTACATTTCGTACGTACGTACGTACATCACATCACATCATATCACATCACATCACATCATATCACATCACATCACATTAAATTACATTACATCACATCACGTCACATCACATTACATTACATTTCATTACATTACATACATACATGTGCATATATATACATATATATACATAATATGTGTATATATATATATATTATATATATGTATATATGTATGTATTACGTATATATGTGTGTGTGTGATTATACAATATATATATATATACTACATACATACATACATACATACATACATACATACATACATACATACATACCTACCTACCTACCTACCTACCTACCTACCTACATACCTACATACCTACATACCTACATACCTACATACCTACATACCTACATACCTACATACCTACATACCTACATACCTACATACCTACATACATACATACATACATACTTACATACATTACATACATTACATACATTACATACATACTTACATTACATTACATTACATTACATTACATTACGTTACGTTACATTACATTACATTACATTACATTACATACATACATACATATACATACATACATACATACATACATACGGATGGGTGAATACTCACAGAACCATGGTATTTGATTGGGCAATGAACTTCCAGAAATTGCCCTGCCTGAGTCTCTCGATCTGCTTGCCTGGCGAGCTAACAAGAACTTGCTTACCCTTCGGTGATCCGTGGTTTGCTGGAAAATCTCCCATTTACAGATGACTTTCCCAGCTATAAACACGATTGATAGTGGATGTTCAATTACCAGGTTTGATTACCAGAGGATACTCCAATGTGAACTAGTCACTAGTCCTTTTCGGTCTCATCTGGTGGTTTTTTCCGCCAATCAATGGATCTGTTTTCCATCAGAATGCATCTGTCCGTCTTTTGGCTGGCCGAGCCACTGGCTGTCTACTTACATCTATGCATGTGTTCAACAGTGTGCTTGCGCATCTCCACCATCTAATATAAGCAAGGTGTCTATGTGTATATATTTATACAGACGTACATTTACACAAATCTTTGTCTACAGTCCACATATATCTCTATATATATATATATATGTAATGCCATTCACTGTAATGCAGTGTAATGCGCAGTGAAGCAATATACAATGTAATATCATGTAATATCGTGTTGTGTATGAGTACGGAACATTACGGAACGGTATATGCAAATGCTACACCATGCTACATACACCTAAAGCGGAGTCTCTCCCGCCTGTCGTTGCCTTTGGCTTCTCCTTAGTCGACTCCGCTGGGAAAACAACAAACGCCGGGCATGTCACCAATGGTAGCTGAGCTTGTAGCACATGTGTAGGTGCCTCCTGCAAGGAAGGGCGAAGTCTGATGATTCTTACCCAAGAAATAATATGCAAATGCTGCAGTCGGAGGGCCACTACTGAAGCTGCTTTCAGCTGGATATTCCTTAGAAAATGCAAAAGTTGAGTTTCCAGAGAGCTGATAGGTTCGTGCCCCAAAGAAACGATCCCCTGAACCATGCTCTAAAGACTTCCCCAATCCCGCTGTGCTGGTTGATTGAGAGCCTCATAATCATCCCTGTCCGTCCCAAATATATTAGTTGTCAGGGATCAGCAACCCAAACATGCTTGAACATTATGTATATCGAATTGTGTACATGTTTATATATATATATAAGACATGTAGATATTACATGTATACACATAATTATGATTATGTGTGCAGTACATATCTATATATATATGATATTATTGATATTATATGATTTATGTTTGAAACCATCAACCAGTACCGCAGTCATTATCCCAACAGCGTCCACTGGCCTCTGCCCATACCCAAAAAGAACATCGCTCACCTTCAACAACACCGAGGGCGGCGTCCAAGGCTTTCCCTGGCACTTGCTTCGCTGCATATAGCAAGTGTGTTGCTTCATCCTCTGGTGGCAGGTGTATAATATTGTCCGGGTGTGTTATTTGAAGGTGGGCGTGTGAACTTGTTTTGTTTATTACAATGTGATATATATATATATACATATATACATACATACATATATATATATATACATATACATATATATATATACATACATATATATATACATATTATATAATTATATATCTTAAATATGCTCTATGTATATGTACAGACATGTACAGACATGATATCGAAACATATGAATTATGAAAAACCCGGATCAGAGCTGCTGGCCTCGGCACCTGATCAGGAATTTCATGGAGCTTTGACCAGCAAATATGGAGGTTTATCCAACAAAACATGGAGCTAAAAAAGTTAAGCAACAAAGATCCAGGTAAAACCAACCAACCAAAAAAAGAATGTTTTGTGAAATGGGAATGTACTGGAATATGCCAGCAATATGGAGATTTGACCAGTCGTTCAACATGGGAATGTCATCCACAAAAATCCATGAGGCTCTGGGGCGCCTTTTATGAATCGATCCCCATTAGACCAGGGCTTTGGGTGTGCAAAATCACGAATGGGGGGAAGAACCTATGACAAATTGATGTGGTTTTTGTTCGCTAAGCCCAAGAAAAACTCATGCTACCCATCGAGTAATTGCTTGAGTCCCTTGGATGATCTTGCCTGATATCTAAGGCCTTTCACGCCTGAACTGCAACAGGGGATAACAAGGCTGATGCTCATGGTGATGTTCTAAAATGAAGCTGAGTTCCCCTCCCCACCTGCACCATGCCGCCTCGGCTTCCGAAATTCAGTGACTGGGTCACCATTTTGAACGGATCTGCGGATTCGTTCACAGTTGTACGTGCATTCAACATGTTGCACATTGTCGTCATGGTCTCCAAGGATGGCACTCTGTGAGTTCATACATCCTGCACAAGCACAACCGGAAAGGCTGACTGGCCATGCAAGCTATCACAGGTGTGCGGAAAATGCAACCAATTTCCGTGTTTTTTTTCTGTGTATACTTGGGTACAGTCAGAACATTATTCTGCAATGGCTTCTTGTTTGGATTTGACGACTTGTAAAACCGATCTCAGGCTGTCGATAAGGATGCAAAAGGCGTGCCCAAACTCAGGAAACAACATGAAACGACCCACTGTTTCTTCGTGGTTGTTCCACGTTGTTTCCAGGTTCTTCGATGTGTTTTCCCCATCTTGCTTCGCCTGGTGAGGTGGTTCCACAACACCCAGTTTTGCTCCTGGGACTGACATTGGTTGGGATGGGTCAAAAATGCGATGCCAATATACAAATTCTTGGTCATTGTTCATATTCAACTATCAATTTCTATCATTTTCATTCATTTTCTATCCAACATGTTGACATATGTTGACATATGTTGACATATGTTGACATATGTTGACAATGTTTTGGCGTTGAGAAGTTTGATTCATACCGACTAAAAACTCGCCGTTCTGGTCTGAGAATTCCATGTCTCGGGGGCTCGAGGGACAAAAATCTGACCGTTCAGCTCCTGTCATGGCAGGAACGACGGGCATGAAACGAAGTCTGGCCTTGCCTTAGTTGATGTGTAAGGGGATATAGAAATCCCTATTGCATGGATTGATGACCATCCCCCAATATGGGCATTCCCAAGTTTTGACCATGGCACATATGAAGATTATGAAGGTTGCTCAGTGCTGCGGTTTTCCAAGCTTGTTTGCCGAGCCAAAGCAGCTGCCAATGAAATGCGGCGTTTGGCTGTTCTGTGCAGCTTCAGGATTCGAGGCCGAATTCGTCTCTGTGCTTCACTGGAACCCGAATCAGGAGCGGTTTGGCGGTTTCTTCCCACCATGACAGTCATGTGCCAAAGAGTTCCAACAGAGGCGACCACAGATCAATTCTCTAACAAACAGGCCTCTTACCCATGAACAAAAACAAGGAACAAGAATTAAATAGAATTAATTACATATGTCCAAAGTGAACCAAAAAAGGATTCGGCTCCTTGCTACTAGACAGCTGTCAGATCTGCGCAGGGCATCGTTTTTTTTTCGGACGCCCCATGGGTCCACGAGTCGGACGAGTCGCTCCCTTGAGGAGCCATAAATTGGGTGGGGTTAACACCCAGCACCCATCTTTTAAAAAAAAATGTCACATGAAACTGTACAACCTCCTACTGATGGAATGTCACAAGCTCAAAATCACTGCTTCCAAAGGAGTTCTCTTCTGATTGTGCATGGAAAGAGCTGAAAGTTTGAGCAGTCGAAGAGCAAGTTTGTCTCCATCTCATTCTTCGGAAATGCCACAAGCCCGGCAGATCTTTTCCATGTTCGCACTTGGGCAACACTAACCCACCCTGCTAGATAAACTCCCTCTTTCATATCAGCTCTTCAATAATCAGCCAATGTGATTCAAGTCCGTGCCTCCAGCTAGTTTTAATTGGGGCACATTTTATGTGGTTATCATGTGTTTGCTAGCCAAAACATCCAACCATCTATCTATCTATATTATATATATATAACCATATACTTTATATAATATTGTACCAGATGATATTCGTCTTCGGTTAGCAGCCATCAACGATTGCCTTATTGGTCGATCTTTCGAACTTCGCATTTCCAGCCCAAGGCCATTGGGTCCAAGCCTAAAGGCCTTATGTCAAAAGCTGGTGTGTCATACACTGACTGCTGAGATCAGAGATGCAAATTCCTTGAGTTGGATTGAATACAGTTCAGTCCTCACAAAAAGATACAGTAACAAAAGAACGTCTAACACCGAAGTCTTGATGACAGGGGTTGCTGGCATGTGAGTGTGAGGAAAGCTGCCGAAAAACCGAGGGAACTGTTGCGGTTCCAAATGGAGCATCAAATCGTGGATGCAGAGTATACAATTGGCCGC